TACGAGCACTGGTAGCAGTGTTCATATTCTTAAGCACAGGCATAGTGTACAACCTCCTCATTAAGGTATCTTAAATATCACTTCACTGCCAGCCCCGCTGCTACTAGTCCTCTACCAGTCCTCCTAACAGAACTGTAACACAAACACACATTTTTTGTTGGCTTTTGAATAAAAAACTGTTAGAAATCGTAAGTCCAAAGACTTTTGTCGATTATAAACCACCGCTTAATTTATGTCTAAAATAAACGTGTTTTTCTAATTGAGAGATAATTTTTTTCCAGTATTAATAATTAACTAATTATTGAAAGCAAATCTGTTTTATCGATACCCATAACTAATTACTACTTTTACTGTAACTCTATTTGTATCGCCGTTTACCATAGATATCGTTGCAAAATGGTTGATCAGGCAGTTTTGGACAAATTGGACGCCGGGTTCAAGAGATTGCAGGACTCGAAGGACTGTCACTCGTTGCTCAAGAAGTATCTGACCCAAGATGTCTTCGATAAGCTTAAGTCCCGTAAGACAGCGATGGGCGCAACCCTTTTGGATGTCATCCAATCTGGTCTGTAATCAATTCAGTAATCGATAACTGATTCATTGATTTAATATGTTATCACTTCTTTTGCCAATTATTTTACCGAAAATTCGGTTTATTTATTGTAAAGATATTGATTGGTTGTGTGGTTTGATTTGAGATTCATTATATAATGAATTGATTTTTTATTTCAAAGACTAATGAATTCTTCACTAATTATTAGATATTCTTGTTTTTGATATAATGATTTCAATGATAAATATTACTCCCATTTGAATAATATTTTTAAATATCAAAGATCTTTTCTTATAGTCTTTTCCTATTTTTAAAAATTCATTGATTACATAAAAAAATTAATTTTATTGACACAACATTTCATTTATTGATAGAACAATATCAAAATTATTACCAGTATAAAATACTACTTTATATTGCTTTATTTTATAGTTAGGTTTCAATTTAATACAAGTATTACACAAACTAATTTGATTATAAAGAATATGCTAATCATTATTATTTCAATGTTTGCATACTATTACAAGAATATTAGTATTGAATTGTTTTTATATGCTCTCGGAATGAATAATTGATTGAAAAGGAAAAAATTGAGTGAAAAGTTTTTTTTGGGTTGAAAACAAGATTAGGAAACTAGACATAAATTTTTGTAATAAATAAAAGTTAAACATTTTAATGATAAGATTAATGTCTGTTTTATTAGTAGCTTTTTATTAGATGTAATATAGTGTAGTATTTTCCATGAATGGGTAGAAACAAACACCTCATCTCTATATCACAGAATTAGACACAATTCTGACTCCATTCTCAGTGAACACCACTTTTGCCATAAGCGCTCATAGCCTCGAAACTATCGATTTTATTAAACCATTTATTTTCGAGCAATTCTATGGCACTCCGACTACTCGTATTTGTTATCAACTTTTTAGGGCGCCGTTACTAAGGCTGTGAATATATTTGGTTTAAGAATTATTGGGACTTATTTTACATTAAAAAAATGGGGAAATGTATTTACTTTCTTATTTTTTCTCTCATTTAAGAATTGCTTAAATACTGCATTCGCTTAATTAGAGAAAGCGTTTTGTGAACTAATTTTAAATACAGAATCTACTAAATTGTCTCAATTCTCGACTCAATCCTTGACTGATATTACAGAAGCGAAAGCCTTGACAGTGAGGAGAGGGTTATATATAAAGCTATCGTACAGTACAACACACCCTATAGTAAACCCTTTTGTTGATAAGAATTTTGTAATAAACGGCGAGACTTTCGATAAGAATTACTAGCATTTCATATATACTGTAGATATGATAGAAAAATGTTTAATTTGACTCACCATTAATTGTCTATACATAATATATTCCATGTAATTGTGAACATTCAGTATAATTATAATGATTATTACTGAACTCATAATAAGATTTTATAGTTTTAATTGTAAAATAATAAGTAGCGGTAAAACTCGTTAAATTATAATATTTATGAGATTCTGGACTACTTTTACATGCAATCTATTGTAATATTCAGATTATTGCAAAGATATCGAAACAATAATTATAAAATAAGTTTATTTATAACACTTGAGGAATAATTTTTAAGTGTCACGTAATTCTTACAACACAAGTGTATAGTGTATATAAAAAACTAAATTCTTGTCTCTAATGCTCGCAATTATTTCCTCCTATTATTGCATAACTTTTTGTTTTGCGATTTGTCTTTCAAAAAAGCAAATCATTAAATATACCAGAATTACTGAAACAAATAGAGAATGGCATTAATGACATGTAAACTAAACTGTAATACAGTATCAGGAAATAAATCAATTAATTGATCAATAGTTTGACATTCGTTGACTTTTAAGAATATTCTTTGTTATAGAAATCTCTTTAACTATTAAAACAATTGTTATTAAATTATAAAATGCATAAATTTCATAGCTATAAATAGGCGTAAATTATTTTAAACACTATCGCAACTTATCTCAAAGTCTATGATATAAAGTTCATGAATCGATTGTTACGTGAATTGTATTTTTATGCATTCATTTGTAAGACAATTTGATATCAAAGTCCATTTAAATACAAATATATTTTTTTCTTAATAATGATAATTACTTTTGAATTCAAAATCCACTGCACTGTATAACTATATTGAATTCACTTACATTCACTAATAGTTTATATCTAATACAAATGTTTGAGTGTTCAGAATATTCTGCAACTATTAGTGTATATTCTGTTCGCGAATAACTGTGGCATAAATTAGGCCTAAAAGTGAGAAGTAGATGAAAATAGATTTATATAACATTTTCAAACAAAAGCATTTGGCAAACGGTGCCAAAAATTAGTGCTAAGAGCCCAGTGCTCAGTAGGTTTAGAGTGTATGAGTGGTTATTACATTCAGTTATACACACTATTCGAGCGAATCTCACCGAAGTGTCTAAAGATTTGGCTAAAGAAT